TATTATTGTAACAGAGTTTTCAAATGTTGAAAGCTATTCACAAGTATAATCAAACGGCACCCTGAAAGGAATAAACTTTTTTTTTTGTTATTTTTGCTCTTAAGCTTTTAAGTCTCATGCGTTTTTATGCAAAAACTATTTTTTACATTATTCACAAATGCCTTGACCTATAGGTATTTTTTTATTTCTTACAAATGCATGCATAAATAATGACAAATACAAAACAATTCACAGTTTATGAAGATATATTTAGCCCTGATCAAAATTTAAAGTATTCTTTTTTCTATTAAAGTTATGTAATTTTTGTTTGTGTACAGTGGTGACTAGAAAGCTTTACATGTGCTTCTTATTCAAAATACAAAGGTACAAACGCTGTAAGAAGATTCTCAGCATTATCTTATATTGTGTGGAGGGGAAAAAAAGCATAAGTACTTACGTAAGTATAAGCACCTTCTTTGGCAAGTATTTATGTTGACACATGCCAGTGAAGTCTCCCAGATTGTTCTACTCAAAATTAGTAACTATGCCAAATTGTTCTTGTTTTTCCTCTGATTGGGACACTTTTTATTTCCTCTTAAATGGTTTCATTTATTTCATATATTTTTCATTTTCTTTTGTAGGATCTAGAGGAGTCTTAGGGATGGCAGTGACATAAATACACTTTTTGTGTAGAGGGATATTTTTAAATAAGAAGTGGTCAATGGTATAGTTGCTAAGAATAATCATCATCTAGTATTGAACAAGTTATGAATAGGAGGAAACTCCTATGAAGTGGGCTTTTGTTTTAATTTTCATTTATTTGTAGTAAAAACTGATGAATCAAAATCACATTTCTGTCAGTGCACACGAGATACTGTGATGTGTCACCGCAGGCCATTCACATCTCTCCTGTCTTTAACAGCCATGGCTTCTTGGTATAGAGGACAGAGATTCTGCTTCCTCCTGTTTTAGGTTAGATTTATCGTGCCTTTTGTTCATACTCTTGTTAGACTACACATTTGTAATGTTTCAGAAATTATAGGCTCATAAGGAATTTGGCTTTCCTCAAAAGGTCCAGGACCGGAAATGGAAGGGTGCAAAATTTCTCATTAAGGCTGTCAAGGCTTAAGATGCCTTCAGCTGGGGTTCAGCTGTGGAAGACATGGCAAAGGAAGGAAAGGTAGGAGAAAATGACAGATGTAGCAGCTGTCTGTTCTGGAATAAAAAGATGTCAGACCAGGGCTGTACTCTCCAGATTGACCTGGGAGATATGTTCCCAATCTGTGACAAAACCCAAAAAAAGCCTTGCAGTTGCTTGCAACTTGGTACCAAGGAACCACAGGGAACCAGCAGTCTGAGTCTAAGACTCATACCGAGATTCTCCTGTTCTGAAGAAAATTATGTATTGTTTGATCCGTGTTAAAATGTATTGGCCAAGAGTAAAAATATAATTGTGGTACACAACTTAATTTTTAACAGTAATGCTGATGGAATGTATGGGAAATAAAATTACATTTATGGCTATGCATTGTGAAACATAGTTTTAGCTACAAATATGTTTGAGTCAAGTTTTCTGTATTTAAAGCATTTCAAATAATCTTAAATTGGTGTATAATGAAACACCAAAAAAGCACATTCTATATAATGATTTGGAGTCAGTTTTGTCCCCACTGCATTGCCCTTTCTGCGATCTTGGATGCAGCTGGGAGGAGGAGGAGGAGGAGGAGGATTTCATGTGAGGAACCAGAAGAAATGGGGGTTTCAGTGCACTGGCCTTCACAGAGCCCCTTGCAGCTTGTACAGGAGTCTTTGGCCTCTTCCACCACCATCTCCAGAAATACCTTCATTCCGATTCAGCATTGGAAACGGAGCACTTCTTTCCTTTTCCCTTCTCATCTATGTCTCTCACAAACAAAACAGAAAGAGGAGACTTTTATCATTCCTAGGCATGCAATCCAGTAGGATTCTCTTAATGAGATCTAATGCACAACAGGTTTCTGTAACTAGCCAAGAGGCAAGTAATACCTACTGCAGTGTATTAAAATGTATGTGAACTATGGACCACAGGTAAAGCTGATTATTTCAGACTAGACCAGTGTGTAATTTTTGTACTAGGTCAGTTCAGCTCCATAGGTGGAAATGGTCACTGCTGCACTGTACAAATTCTCCAGTCATTATGTAGACCTTGCAGGGAAGTGAAAGAAAGTAAGTGAAAGAAAAGTCATAGGGACAGCACATAACCAATTATTTTCTGCACTTTTGCAGCTTGTTCCCCTGAAGTTACTTTTCCAGCTAATCCAAAAGGTGGACAAAGTTCATTTCAGCATTAGCAATCTAAAATCAAATCTCAGCTGAGATTAATTTGCATGAATAATGAAACCTGTTTTCAAGTGTGGTATTATTTATATATATATTTTAAGTAAATGCTTACATTTTTATTTTTCTAGGGCACTACCTCTGACCCTCTTGGCTTTGTTTTGTGCTTTAAGGTTCAAACTAGTGACCAGATGGAAATGGTTTTAGAGCTCCTGACTGCTGTAGAAGTAACTGAGGCAGATACATGGGGCTGAGAATTATTTAGTTTGACAAGCAATCAGGAGGATATTTTCAGAACAATAAATCAAACTCACACCCCTGGACATACAAGAGACGGAGATCTAGAGCACTGATTTTTGTGCCCCTGCCCTGATGAGCAGAGGTGCCACAGCCCATTGTTGACTTTCCACCAACCTCAGGCTGACTGCCATCCTTTGAATCCAAGGGACATTGATTTGTCTGGACTGCTTTATAATCGAGCAGGGCACTGAAAAACCCAATTTTACATTTCTACAACAAAAAAGGTTTTCCAGAGAAATCCAGTGAAGATGGGCCTGCCTCTCAGCCACTGGAATAGACCATCCAAAGGTTGACGGGCAGACCAGAACCCACTCTAGGATTTTTAAGTTATTCAGCATCATTCTCATGAGGCACTTGTGCATGACAAACTGGGGCTGCTCCATTCCTCCAGCTGTCCAGGAGCTCCCTTCGCAGCAAGTCCCTCACCCTGACAGAAACATGGAAGGCTCACTAGGGCGAGGCCATAACATTCCCATCTGCAAACAGCATTGAAATAAAGACAGAAGAAAACAAGATTTTTTTTTTCCCCCCAGTTGTTTCTAGTGCACAATCTAGGGCACAAAAAACAAGGGGACGCAGCCAGCTCCGAGCACAGGCCCTCGCGAAGCTGCTGGCCAGAAGCGGTTCTGCAGGTGGATGGGGTTTGGCAAGGGGACAGGGTAGTGGCATCTTTTCTCCGTGCCACGGGGGAGCATTTTGGTGTCCACGCGGACTTTTAAAAACAGCCTCGGCTCTGCCAAGGTACAAACACGTGGGAGGGTGTGCCAGGCTGCACCTGGAACTTCACCCTCGCGCAAAAGCCGCCGCGCTCCCAAGGGTGGGGATAGAAGGTGGGGCCCGCGGGTGGGCAGTGTGTGTGTTAAATCACTACTTTTTAAAGAAAGATATTTATTGTTATTCCCTCCTGAAATCAGCGGCGGACTTTTTCCCCTCAAGATCTTAAGACTCCCCCCACCTACCCCCGCCCCTTGCCCCCGCCCCCAGCCAGGGAGGCGGGAGGCCGCCGTACCTGGCACCCTCTGCCTGGGGAGGAGCCCCGACGGCCGCGGCCGCCGAGCAGGTGGGCACGGGTGGGCAGCGCTGCTGCTGCCGAGGGTGGGAGTCCCCGGTGCCCCCGACTTGCCTCGCTGTCCGAGCGAGCCGAGAGCGCCAGGGTGGGGGCGTGGCGGCCGCCTCCTCTGCCCTCCGATAGCGGGGGCCGGGGCTGGAGCTCCCCCCGCGCTGCGGGGGCCGGGAGGACTCAGCGGACAAACTTGGTGCCGCGGGTCGTCCCCGGCCCCGGGAGGGCACAGGGTGGCGGGGACACCCGCGCCCCTGAGATGGGGTTACTCACGGCGGCGGCGGAGGAAGCGAGGCTGCAGGTCAGGCACAGCCTGTGCGTGGTGCTGCTCTTCTGTTTTGTCAAGCAGAGGAAAAATGGGTTGTTTTCAGGCGGCAGTGGATGGGAAGAACTTTTTTTTTTCCTAGTTCTCGTCCTTGCAGTAGATGTGCTGGAATAGGTCACCTGAGAAAACGGGGCTGAGCGATTGTAAAAGCTACTGTGTATTAAATACTTAAGTACATATTGGAAGGGGAATGCTGGGGAAGTGTTAGAAAGAAGCTCTAAAAGGTGTAATAATAATTAACATGGATAAAATTGAGACTAAAATCTCGTCACTTTTGCATAAGCCTGTTGGCGCTAATGCAGAGCAGCAGGGAGCGTGTTGGTAAAAGATGTGAAGGGGGGGGTTGTTATTACTCTTTAGATATGCTCGGAGTTTGCAAAGGCATAGCAGAAGTGGGTTATGTGACAGCTTCCATCTCTGCGGTATGGAGGGAGGGTGGGTTTGTATCGCTCAAGAAGTTAATGAATTTCAGAATAGGAAGGACACATCAGACCAGCATGCGTTTGTGGTTTCTTTTGTTCTGAAAGTGGAATATTATTAAGTAAGGTTTCTGAAAGATAGCAAAATAAGCCTGATTTAGGAGATAAGACATTGGTATAAGATAAAGGTTGATGATTTCAACGCAGAACGGGTTTTTGACAGTCTGAATTTGTGGGCTAAAGTCTGCAAGCGCTCCTCCTGGTTCAGACTGAATTTGTGATAACAGCGATACCTGTTTTTGCGCATGCTGCATGAATCAAATCGTTGAACTGCTTCCTGATACTATCAGTGTTTTCAGTTTCTCCATCTGTATATCCAGCACAAGTTCCTGTTTATTTAACAACGTGCATTTGTTTCATCACTTTTAACGTCTTCGGTTCGAGTACTTTGTACTGAAAGACAAGCCACAGGGCAGATGATCACGGAAATGAATATAACTTTATTCTGTGATGGCAGTCAGAGCTGGGACACTTGTTAGGTATGTGTGCGTGGGGATGGTTCCCGTTCACTGCGCGAACCTGTGACCCAAAACAGTGTCCCGGCTGGAATGTGCAGGCGGTGCAGACGCTGCTGCCACCCACGGCTCGTACGGGACATTGCCCGGAGCGCAGTGGAAAGATTGAGTCTGCTTTGCCATCAGGTACCGGCTTCCATGTGCAAGATAACATATGAGAGGCTCAGTGTGGGACTTATAAAGCAGATTGTGTAAGTTTGTTTTGCTAAACTGATGGGATACTTTGGCTGTTTTGCTGTAGATGACGGGGACAAAAACTGGGTTAGATTCATAATCAGAAAGAATTCTGTAGGAGTTGATGCTTTTCCTGTTGAAGATATAGGTTAGGGAATGGGGCTTAGCAGCCAACATGTAACCACTCTTGATGTTATAGTGACATCATTATTAAACATTCTTAAGTGTTATTTACAACATCTTATTAATAGTGAGGCTCCAGTTGGCAAAGTGGCATACAAAATTGCACAAAAATGTAGATACCTGTACCAGCTTCTGATAAAGGATGAAACTTATTTTTCTTATTAATCAAGGATAGATTTTTCTCTAAAGACTGGAGTGTATAAATAGTTTGATCAGCTTTGCATACAGGCTTTGGTTGCTTAGGGGCAGAAGCAATGCTTATTTCATTAGCTGCAGTTCTCAAGTTACTGCTGGTTTGGATCTATTCCTGAAAATGATTGAGAAGTACTTGAAATTCAGATTCTGTGATTGTACTGCATTGAAAAAGGCAACATATTACTGTATTTATCAAGTCATGTAGTATAATACAAAGCAACTTGCTCTTTTTTTCTCTCTCTCCATCGGCACTTCCAAGAGGAAATATAATAAAGATACTGTAACATCTCAATTTCAGTTACTCCAGTAAGGGATGTACAATCAATGCTCGGACTCTGTAAATAATGACTACTAAGTCTGAATTTGCAGAAAGTTGTTTTTTAACAACAAATCAAAACATAGCAGTGTAACATCTCGGTAATCACATCATAAAAGTCAGCAGTGTTTGCTGAATGTCTTAACAGAACATAGCCAGATCCTCATACTCTTTATACTTAGTAATTTTGTTGCTTTATGAGATCAGTATTTTGGGAAACTCGTTGTCCTCTAAAAAGAAGACCTTGAATGGAAAACAATGTCTTAGACATAACAAATAGAAAAATATTTGCACATTTTAATAGATATTAAGAGCTTCAAAGTAAAATAACATAATTTACTATTTTCTGTTATATTGAAAATATATATTAGCTGATGTCAAGTATTAAATAGTTTAATATTAATATTTTAAAATATTTTACCTACAAAGAGAAACAAATCACTGAAAATATTGGTGTGAAATCTCTTTATATGTTTGTTAGTCATCACTCATCTATAAGAATTACAATATTTTTCAGAAGCAACTGCTTTTGTGGAAGCTTTTCTTCTCTGTGCTCAATGACTGGGACAAGTTCAGTTCAGTCTTCAAAAGCAGGTGAGACCGGACAGGCTCAGTTAGCTCTCTTACCCTTGATTTCCATAAGTTACTGATCCTGGATATGTGTGAGTGTTTGCTGCGTTATTATGTGGGTATTTCATGCAGTTCATGTAAGGTCTAATAAATGAGATCACAGATGAAAAGTTGAAGCTCTGGGAAAAATGATACTAGGTTCTGCTGTGCCAGAATAAAGATTCCAGTCTTCTTCAGAAGATATGTAAAATTAGTGTCTTAATAAACACAATAATGAAGTATAGTATCTAGTGAAGTCTTTTATCTAGAAGTCTTTGGTACTCACATTACACCGAGTTACTCATGGTTGCAGTGCTGTTTCGAGATGCAGCTTTCTGTAATGCCTTTACCACTGTTCTTACAGATCTTCCTCAATTAGTTTGTGTTCTTACACAAAGTAGTTACTGTCTTTGAAAGGCTGAAGCTTTCTGAAAAATGACTTATAGTAGCAAAACCTTAATGGTACTTCACAGTTGCATTTTCATCTGTGGTCATTCTGCATCAAGTTTGTCCAGTGGCTTTGTAGTCAGGGTGAACAGAGGTATAAACAGTGCAAACAGAAAAAATGTCCTTGGGGCTTCCAGATTGGAGAGAAAGAGGTTGTATTTTTAGACAAAATTGTATTTTTTTTTAATATGCCCACCTTAATTTGATTTCTGAGATCATCAAGTGGGTTTATTCAGTATTACATACATGACAGCTGCCTTTGGATTGCTTCAAAACTATGTGAAACAGCTAAAGGATTTTCATAAGGTGTGAAAAGCATGTTTTCATTCCATGGTAATTGAGATAACAGCTGAAATGGATTTCACTACCAGAAATACCTCTCTCTCAAATAAGATCACACATGGAGAGCCTGATTCTTCTTTTCATTGACTCCGTGTCATCTTTCACTGCTGTTACAACCCTCTGTGATTGAATGGTGTCATTTTGTAGCCAGTCCAGGCAGAGGAGAGCAACATAACAGCTATACTATAGGTATAGTATAAGTGATAAAGTGAAAAGCAGAGGAAAACTGGACCAAAGGTCCCTGAAAGATTAAGTTCACTAAACATAAGAACAGAAAATTCAGCATGAAAGCACTTGCTCAGTCTTGACCCTGCTCTTACAAGTGTCTAAGAAAACTAAAACTGTGTGTCTGCTCTGCAGCTTCTATGTAATGGATATGCTATATACTTCATTTACACTGCTGGCAACTAGAATATCTGCCTTGATAAATGGAAGTGTTGGCTAGAAATTGCATTGCTTCTGCTTGATTCATAAGAGAGGGGTAAAATGAACAAAGTGAATGAACAGGTTGAGAGATAATAACCCCTTTGTGTTGGTCTCTTTCACAAGCTATACACAGGTCTGTAAATGACTGTTGTACCATTGAACTTTTTCCACTTGCTATATCATGTTTTCCTTTCTTCATTATATGTAACAAAAAAGGAAAAAAGAGGAGAGCAGAATATGGTACTGGATCAGAAGGGAAGTCTTGGGGTCTTTTGTTTCTCTTTTGTATCCTCTTGTTTGAAACGTATAATGTTATTGCTTTCCTAACTGTCACAGTTTTGTGCAAGGAAAAATGTATATATGTGAGTGCTACTGGCTGTATACAAAATAGTCCTGACAGGTTTTGGGCTTTTGTCCAAGTCAGTTATGTATGTTTTTTGTATGCTAAAGAAGAAAAGAAATAACACCATATCTGTTTAAAATCTATAGATCTGCTGGGTTTGTTGAGTAGGCACATAAAAAAAATCAGGAGGTGCATAAAAGGCAAGCCAGGCTTACCTATCAAGAAAATGAACTGTGTTTTTAGCAACTTATTTTCAGAGGAAATGTTTGCTCCTCTTGGGGATGCGTGAATTGCTGCAAAAATATCTGTCAAATTCTGCCCAGGATTTGGACAGAAAATTGATTTAAGTGGTCAGTTGTGTGAGTGTGAACAGCTCGTCACAAGTTAGTAATGTTATTTCTCTTGCTGCAGCTTGTATTTCCTTGAGTATTTTCAGAATTAAACCCTAAAGAATTGACCTCACTTCTACTGAAGATAAAGGAAAATTTAGCATAAAAAAATAATAAGAGATGAATTAGTCCCTAAATCAGTAGATTGGCAGAGAGGGTGGAGAGTACCTCTGTAGTGTACCATGTGAGTGATGGATGTGGGGCCTAACAGGGCATTTAATGCAGAATGAAAGCCTTATTTAGCCTTGAAACTACTAAGTAGCAAGGAAATTATGCAAAAGCAGATTGTACAAAATATTCTTGGATCAAGTGATCATGAGTTTACATTGACTTAACAGTAGGACAAATGATGTAGTGCCATGTGGGGGTACTTGAGCTTGCTCTGAACAAGTTGTACCAGGAGCTGTAAAGGCCTGGTGTAGCTGCAGAATGAGTATACTGTGGTCGCTTTGGTCCTTTCCTCTGCCAAGGCTGTTCTACCTGGTTGTTTTTTCTAATACTTCAGTCTTTTATCCAATCCATCAGGTGGAGCTTTGCACATTGGCCTTAATACTTACCAGCTCTAGTCAGGATATACCTCCTGGTACCTCCTAGAATCACATTTCCTGTTGTTTTCAGAGCTGGATCAGCCTAGTTCTGCATTTCTTCTCTTTTTTCTCAGTACTAGCAACCTGTGCTGAGCCTCTAGTATCATGCAGAATTAGGTACTTTTGTACCATGTGCCGTGTTTCTTTCGCCAGAGCAGATGACTCTACATTTTAAATGAAATGGCTTCTTTTGCCTTGCCTTGCCTTGGCAGCAGGTGACATGTGAGGTGAATGGTGAGAAGGACAAAGACGAATGTGGAGAGGAGGAATGGAGAGACTGGTAAACCACTAGAAAAGAGGAGAAATATTCACAGTGAAATATAGAGGAAGGGCCAGATCCAGACTGAGCAAAGTGAAAGCTGGAGTCCAAAACCAGGATAAAACTTGACACCAGAATTAGCGGAAATGAGTGAATACTTGTCTTTACCCTGCTTGGCCTGATGGTAGCAAATACTGGTTGCACTAGAAGAATCCTTGGGAGTGGATTCTGATCTACCTGTTCAAAGAAGGAAAACTGTAGACAACCACTTTGGTCCTTTGTGTCTATGACAGACGCAAATGCAAAAAATACTCCACTGACGTTAATCCCTAGAATTATTTTCCTTCTTCCAAGTTAGTTGAGTATTTTTGGATTTCTGGTGTTCATCGCTTATGCTGTGTGTAAAGGTGGGTATCAATCTCAATTTCCTCTCTGAGTAAAATGACTGTCACAAAGAGTTACAGCTGAAGTCCTTTAATAAATCAAAGGGATGAACCTTCAATTTGGTAAAATTTGGTAAAACTTCTGAGAGCTTTGTTTTATTAGCAATTCAGAACTAGCGCTACAGATCAAAACATCTTTCGTCAGGGACTTTTTTGTTGTTGCTGCAGTTGCAACTGCAATTTGTTGTTCATTGCACAAAGTGAAATTATTGTCCTGAGTAAACTGATATAAGTCTGGAAGTAGATATTTTGTGCATTGCCTTTAAAAACAGCTAACAATTTTCTGTACAAGAAGGCATATTTACACCTTCATGCACATAGGAAGTCTGACATCAGCTTTGACACTAAAGGGACAGTGAGAACACTTTGCATTTTATTTTTTCAGAAGAATGAATTAGTTAAAATACAAAAAAAGCAGTATTATGGTAGTGTAGCAAGCCTTCCTTAATAGCAGAGGGGTTTATGTACATTTTATTTA